ACTTTTTTCAGTGTGCACTTAATTGATTTTGCACATAGCCTAGTATGTCTCATTCAGTTTTTTGGTATTTAATAGGAAAATGTTAATAGGAAAAAGTGTGACAGTAAATTTTGACACATTATAATATAGTTAGGAATTTCAGGGACAGTGTTTTGTGCTTTCTTTCAGGATTGTCTTTCAAGTGTACTGCATAGCAAATATAAAAGTCGAAGCTCCATCGTATACAAAGGTAACATGAAAAAAAAGTGTTTGAGTGTTTTTCTTAGGGAAAATCTTTAGTTAAACTTTATATTCCTGAGTTTATTTAAGTAGTTCTGTATTTTCTCATGGAATACTTTAAATAGATAGTTATTCTTGAGCTGGAGTTTGTGAAATCTGAGAGCCAGTCTGGGAATGTTAACATTGGTTCTGAACCTGTTTGTGTTTAATTTCTTGCTTGAAATCTAAGCAGTCCACGTCATCACGCTGTATATATTTGCCTTTAATGTAAAGATGAGTATTTAATATCTAGAATGCCTTTGGGCTTCTTGAGAAATGCACCTGGCTAGTGCACTGGGAGAGCAAGAAAAAACTGTGTTATCAGACTTTGCTTACAAATAAATTAGCATATGAATACAGGCTTTAAAACTTCAGAAAGACAAATCTGAACTGAAAACTAATGATGTTTCCAAATGTACTTGTTTTGATTTTCTGAAGAAGTTGTGCTTATGCAAGTAATTGAGTTGGTCTGTCATGTGAGAAGAAAGAAGAAATTTGAGTTAGTGTGGTCCATAGAAATTGTGTGAAAATTGATGTTTGAATTGATATATAGAAAACCAAATATTGTTATTCCCATTGTTAATAGTATTTTTGTAATACAGCTAAATTCATAAGAAAAACTAGCCAGTGCACAATGTTGAATATAAGAATCAGCTTATTTAAAAGAAAAAAAAAGTTAAGAATAGTTATCAGCTATAAAAAAATATATTCCTAAAGAAGCATGTCATTTGTTAACTTTTTCAGTACTTTTTTGTCTTCTTAAATCTGCAGACTTACATGGCATTACAATGGCTTATAAATCATTGTAGGATTTTTAAAGTCAGCTTCTGAAGTGTGCTAAAAATATTCCCGTTTTATATATTTCACAGGTGACATGGACAGCTCACCTGAAGATACAGCTATTTCATTATCTAATTGTTCTTTACAGTCAGAGTTTACACAAAGTGGAAGAAGGGACAGCCTCAGATCGTTTAATGATTTTCTACAACGTTTAAAAAACCTGGATTGGTAAGAACTGTTTTGTCTTCACTCCTGCATTATTTATTGTCTTTCCAAAATCCAAATAAACCATTTTAATACATCGGGATTTTAAGACTGATCCCCATGCAAGGCATAAATTCATAAGTTCTTTTAAGATTTCTGCTCTTCTTGTTAAGTAAAAAGCTATTCGTGACCTATATATGAAGTATTAAAAGCTGATTTTGAGGATAAATATTCTCATACTCTTTTCAATACAGAGATTATAATTTTGTGATAGAAACTAATCCTGGAGGAAAGCAAGCAGTTTAGCCTGATGAGTGGCTTTAAGTTTATTTTTAGAGAGAATTTGATTCCAAAAGTCAAAAAATCCCTTTCTAAGACTGCTTTACAGCAAATACTAAAATAATAATGAAAAAAAAAGTTGTTATGTTTTTGAGCCATTCTGTGTTTTTGGTGTATGATGAAGAGAGGAGGTTGTTTTAATTGTATGTACATGTGTTTACAGCATGGAAATTCTATTTATTGTTAACTACTGTCAAGTTGCCAACATCACAAGGTGTGGTCAAAATCTTGAGAATAACAATGCCTTTCATCCAAGTCATTTAATTCTGCTGTTTGTTTGCAGTCAGATGTTAAAATCCTAGATTGAGCAATGCTTATATTTTTGTACAATTTTTTTTTCAATGCATACGTATATAGTATGTTAGAAAGAGTAACTCCAAAATTTTATTCTTTTATTTTTTAGCTCTGATGATGAACAAGATTCTTTTCATGATTTAAGTGAGCTTGAAGGAGAGGAAAATATTAATGGCTCTGGAACTGATGCAGTTCAGAGTACAGCTATGTATATGGAAGCAGGTAATAAATGTTAATTAAAAGTTTTAAATTTTCTTCTGTAACTGTGCAATATATAACATCAGAGTTAAAGTTTGTGCTAAATGTATTTCTGTTCAGCTCATAAATGGAGTAATTAAATAAGATTTATTTTAATTTTGAGATTGAGCTTTTCATGTAAGAGTGAGTTGCTTTTCTGGAATTAGTTGAGGAGGTCCAGAGGTTTTGTGCAATACTGAGACAATTTTTAATAAGAAAATTCAACTGTTGAAGTCACATGGCCATCAGTTCTGAATAATGGGATTTAAGAAGTAAATTATTTTCTTTTTAAAAAAAGTAACTAGCTGCATAAACAAATAATACGACTCAATAAAATTGGCTTTTTAACAATCATAACCTGTCACTAGGTAGTGAGAACAGTTTATCTGTTGTCATTGGGTTAGCTCAAGAAGTTCTTTCTGAATTGCTGTAGTAGTGACCAGCTGAAATTAATTCCCTGTAAACATTAGAAATTTTTGCTGCAGTTCGAGGAGTTTGTGACTTTGTGAATCAGTGCAGATCTGTTTCATGTGGAGAGTTTTAGGTTTAGAAGAATATTGCTGAATTATTTTGAAGGAAGATTTGTAAATGTAGAAAGAGCTAGCAAAACAACCCCTAATAGGCTAATTTCTCACATCCTGCTCAGTTAGCTTAACGTCAGACTGAGATCTAGTCACCAGGTAGTCACTTGTCTGGAGTTAAAACAAAAACATTAAGAAATTTTGGTTACATTATGTTTCAGTCTTACGTTTTATACTGGTGTCTGTGGGATTTGTATTTTGCAATGGAGGCTGCCATTTTATTTAAAAAACTTCACTGATTGATTTGACAAATCATAGAAGGCAGCTCTGAGCAATTCTCTATTATTCCTCTGGAGATAATTACATTAATTCTTCATTTTGTTACCTCTCGCTCTATACTGGTCACTCTAAATGAGAAAAATATGTTTTCTCTGTTTTGGAAAAACAATCATATAACTATTTATATAAGTCTGTATTTTTAATGTAAAATGTGTTTTCCTTCCCTAGATGACACCTTATCATCCCATTTGGCTGCTAATACACAAACGTGTAGTGACCAGAATAATACCAATGGTTTGATAAGGAAGACAATAAATGGGATTGAGACTCAAACACGCAATAGTCAAGGCTTAATACCACCTCACATCAGTCAGATATATGATGAATTATTTGTCATACATCAGAAGCTCCAGGTGGGAAGTAGAACAACCTTAACATTTTCATTGAGTAATGCTACAAAGATTCTCACTTTTAGACGAGAATTCAGAAATTGCTAATATGCTAAATCACTGTCATTTGCTTCTTTCCCACTAATCTTTATCCCTTTTTACTATTAATATTGTTGAATGTGTTGCAGTTTTTACTAGTGATGGAGTTTTTACAGACACTCATATATACCGTGATGCTATAATGATGTAGTTAATGGCTTATATTCTCCTGTGTTTAGAGAAGAACTGTGGGATTTGGAAATGATCTATTCACGGAATTTGGACTTCAGTAACAAGTCTGAAAATGTGTCAGACTCCTCACTGCAAGCATTGCTTGAGTTCTAAAAGGGACTGCTCTGCTGTGTTTTGAATCACAGCAGTCTTTGCGTCTGTGTGGTCAAAGTTCTTCATGGTACGTTCATGCTCCGCAGCGTGGAGAACATGAGCACCATTGGCACCACCCTGGAGTTCCTTTTTAACTCAGGGTGTAACTCCTATCCTTCAGGATAGGAGATGTGAACTCTACCAAAACCTCTAGAGCAGAGTAGTTGACGTTCTCCTGCATATCACTTGGAGGATATTAATTCAATTGACTTGCAAGGTGGTTAGAGCAGGAGCTAACGTACGTCCTCAGCTTGAGGACGTTTGAACACAGCACTGTTGCATCTGAGAGAATGTCTTGTGAGACAGTGGGGGCATGCAGGACGTCGTCTGCGGGTGCGGCTTCTCCAGAGTGTGCGTGAAACTTTTCTGCTGATTCTGGGAGATCAAGAGTGTTTGTCCTACTCACCTCTGGCACAGCCCCCTTCTGCCCGATCTTTCCTTCTCTACTAAGTGGAGAGTCTCAGTGGTTTATCTCCTGGCAGGCCTAGGCCACTAAGCAAAGAACCCCCAGTGTGCTCCATTTGCTTTATTCTGGAAGGATCACTCAAGTTTCCGCTAAATTGCCTGCCAAGGTAACTTGCACCATATAGGATAAAACTTACTCTATGCCCTTCTCTTCCCCACCCCTTTTCAAGCGATGCTTCCCATGAATTGATGAACCAGTACAGCAGTGTTCAGGGCAGCCAGACTCTTCGGACTCTGCTCTGTCTTAGGGTTATCATTATCCAAAATTTTCAGAAGAGGCTAAGTTTAATTGCCTGAAGTGATACTTGAACAACCACATGGAGTGTTTTGGGAAGCCAGATAACTCCAGTATCTCATTTGGTTTAATGTGTGGGGAAGTTGAAAGTAGATGGCCATTAGAATACTTTTAGTTAGTGAACCATTTAGTAACATTCTGTATTATTTTACCAAAATGTTAATGCATCTGCGGGAAACTTTCAAAATCAGCACAAACTGTGATAATTTCATGTTCTTTAAAGGCATTTCAATATTATCTTCTTGATACAGAAAGGAATTTCAGCGCA